GGTAGTCTTGAACAGGCACTCGTCGCAGCTGAAAGTCTGACGTGGAGCATGCTTCAGTTTCTTGTGCAAGTTGAGATTGTCTTTGCGTTTGCAGCTGTAGCTGCACTGGTCACAGTGAAAAGGGCGCTCACCGGTGTGGACACGTACGTGCTCTATTAGCTTGTTGGCGGTCTTTGACAGATAACCACACTGGTCACACTTATAATGGTTGCCGAGGCGATGTTCCCGGATGTGCATTTCCAGCTCCAGCTGATTTGCTTTCACTGTCTGGCAAATCCGACACTTGTACTCCATCTTGTAGTGGGTCTTCAGATGGCATTCCATTGCTGCAGGGCGGTTGGTGGAGTAAATGCAGAACGGGCACCTAGCAAAACAACAAGACCCAGGAAAAGGCAGACATTCAAGTTCTGAAGATAATTCTTTCTTCAAACTTTCCTCCACCCTTTTAAATGCATGAATGGTTCTGGTTTATTTTAACCCCTTTTTACTACAACTATGGGCAAAACCATGATTTTTCAGCACTTTGTAGCATATTTAGCTCATCTTATCATTTGGCTCTTCAAAAATGTAAGTGTGCTGATACATTATAAACTTATTCCTAGGAAATTCTTGACACCACCCACAGCTGTGTGCACCTAATCTAATGACTCGTCTACCCAGGAAAGTTAATGCACAGAAATGCTGGATGTGAATTTACAGCAGAGACACATGTAGAGCAGACAGACTGGCTGTGTGTGAGGAAGCTTATTTTACTTTCAGGCCACTTCTTGCTGGAAAGCGAGTTTGTGCAGCTATGCATAAACAGTGTCCACTTACGTAAAGAAAGAATAAACCTGTGCTATGCCACGCAAAACACAAACAGAAGGAGAATGCTGGGAAATCCTTTCAAGGATAAACTTGGAATACACTCGAAAGAAACAGCAACAGATAGCCTGCTGGAAAGATTTCCTGTCTACTGAGTAATATTCTGTTTGCCAATAACTGGTCTTTTCCTGGATGACTCTATTACCCTGCTCTCTTGGAACTGAAGTCAAAACTCAGCGCAAACTGTGGTGAAGTTAGTAACCACTGGCACTGGACACAAGCTCTTTTGGGCAACTGGTTTAAATAAGTTGCCAGAGGCCCAAACTCTTCCCTTAACATCTCTGATATAAAGATCAGAAGAGAAGTGGGATTGGAAGATGGGTTTATAACAATCTGTGCAAAGAACTACAATTTCTGGTAAGTACATTTTCTTCTCTGACTATACCCTGCAGAGAAACTCATTTTTGAGGGGTGAACTAGGCATACCAACTTATCACAGGTGGGTGTAACAGGCTGGCATGGTTTGCCTGCTAGTAATGCACCCTGATGCCAGATGTTGATGTTGTTTGGGAATCTTTAGTGAGTTGGCAGAGTCCACTAGAGGAACTTGCCGATTACTCCACAATAGGAGTAATCAATGGGAATGGGTCCCTAGAGAAAGAAAGAGGAGGGTCTACACTAGACTCTTGACAGAGTAGTCTGGAAAGAGAAATCCTTAGATGGGCCTCATCTGGGAGAAAACCCAAGGTAAACTTGTTATCTTACTGTTAATTTCTCCATCCATAATACCAAAATATAGAAAGGGGGTCAATTTTGACTATTTAGTATGGGACTGGAGTTGAAAGCAGACTGGAGAAGGCATCTGCATGTGGAGGCACTGATTATTTAAAACATAAAGATTATAGAACCATTCTGCTCTTGACCTGGCTGCCAAACTAAAAAAAAAAGTAATATTAAGTAAAGGTATTACTAGGGCTCCAGATCGTACCCTTTCAGCTCTCACCAGTTTGTGTTGATCTGCTTTCACTGTCTGGCTATCTAACATTTGTACTTTTAGCATTTAAGATAACCTCTGAGCAGAGATAATCTCTTCCCTAGACTTGTGTCCATTTGCCACAAATGGTCTAGGAGATGTACACAACTTTAATTTTTATCTAGATGGTTACCAAGAGACACTTAAAACAGAGAGAGAATAACAACTAGGAAAAGGACAGACTGAGTGTAGCAACAATAATTTTTGATTTTTAAAAGCACTCTGATCCAAAGAGGCAGCCCTGCACAGAGGATGCTAAAACAATTAACAGTACCAGAGCAAGGGAGCAGATGTCAAGACATCACACATACCTACCTCTCTTGGTGCTAACTCCTCTTTGGATCAGAATCTTAGATTTTGTTCTGGAGCTGGGTAGGAACAGGAGGAACGATGGAAGAGTTTTCTGGTCTTTCTCCAAATCCTCAATGGTCATCAGGAGGCAGAAAAATACAATTCTACTTGATCCTTAGATCTCTTTGGGCCTTTTTATTAGATCCAGCCCTCAATCTGCCTCTAGCTTGAGCAACTGAAAGAAGGGCAAGGAGACGACTTAGCTGTACTGCTAGAGCTAGACTGAGAAGCCTTCAAAGTCTTTCCGTTACCTTTCAGGGTATAGGGGACAGCTTCAACGCTGATCACACCCAAGCAGAATAAGCAACTAGTGTAAGTGTCTAAGACAGCTATCTCATTCTTGCAAGCTATGTACTTTTAAATCTGGTTTTCTCTCCAGATTCAGTCACCACATCAGAACTGAACAGAGATCCTAAATAATGGATCTATTGAGCTGGATACAAGAGTCAGTTGGCTGACGGAAAAAATCCACAAAGCGCAGTGCACAGATTTAGCTAAAACTAAAATCCTGTGCTGGTGCAGCAAAAGAAGACACTTGCAGAAGTTCTGATGTGTTGACGTTCACCCTGGGTTGAACTGCTTCCAATCTCAGTGCCTGCAGTGGTTGGAACAAACAGAGACTTGGGGCAAGAGTATTATAACATGTTATACAGATTATCTAGCTCACTACAGAGCAAGCAGGGAGCCCCCAGCAGTCACTGCTTGGCCCCAAAGCCATACATGTGCTCTAGAAACTGAGATCTATGTAAACAGTTCTTAAAGGACAACTCCTATTTCTCAACACCAATGAAATGTTCTTAAAAGGGAGAATGGTGAAAGGAGAGGACAAGTTGCAATTTAATGCAGTAACCTAATGCCCAGGTTTGACACAGAAACACCTACATAAATCTGGACTTCCCTGAGACAATTCTGAAATCCTTGCACTACCCTGAACTATAGCACAAAATACTGTATTATCTACAATATGAACAGGAAATACAGTACAAGCAGTTCCATCACAGAGAACTAATGTAGACATCTGCAGTCTGTTACATTTTAAGGACATTTCTGTGACCCCTGCTTGGTTTCTCTATTGCAGTTCAGCTAAAGACAAAGACTTTCTCTGACTCATACTATTAAAATTATCCTTTCAAGCAAATTAATTCATTCACATGGTCAGAAAAATACTGCTCTGACAGAGGGTATCATGATATTTTGATGCCTTCATTTACCAGTCACATTATAATTTATAGAGTAATTAAGGCTGATGGCTATTCAGTAATTTATAAATTATACTGTACTGTATGGCTTGAGGATATGTGTACGTAAGTGAGTAGCTAAACCATGCAGTGCCTTCCTTGTTACATCTACAGAGAATACAACTTTAATAAATAATGAAACAAAAAGGACTAAAGCATCGGGGTATTTGATACTTCAGCAGGCAAATCAACAAAAATACCCAGAGATGATAATAATACTGCAGTGGAGAAAACCCAAACCAAAACACTCTACAAAATCTACTGATGCAGCTGCAAACTAAGGATGTTTCTTGAGGTATTAAGATAAAATAGAACAGGGACCCACTGTTTGACTTTCTCTCAATTCCAAAAAATATTTAAAGAGAAACAAAAATAAAGAGAGCCCCACAGAAAGGTCTAGAGATTATTTACTCCAGTATGGAAACAAAAACAGGAAGAATTTTTAATGATTACCAGTGAGGACTGATATTGCATTAGGAGCTGAAAAGGCTGACGAATAATTGAGAAAGTTGCCTTTTAAGAAGATATTTTGTGTTTTGTTACTTCAACAACAAGTTTATACACTGTTGATCTCAGGGTGAAGAGTTTTGTAAATGCTTGGCCTGAACTTTTTATATTATTTTTTTCTTCTGAAAGCCAGGTTACAAACTACCTCAAAGAAATGGTCATCCTTTGCATTTATGGCTTCCTGTGGCCACTGCTTTCAAACTCAGTTCTAAACTCCCCTTGCTGGGATGCCTCCAAAAATAGAGATCATTTAGGCTGCTGGGTCCTTGAACTCTCCTGTCTGACCTCTCATCTGATATTAAGGTTTTGGTCTCTTTGGGGGCAGTGACTGTGCTTTTTTTTTATCTAGTCTGTGCAGCAACTATTCTATTGGGATCTTGGTCCATGACATGGCACCCTAAGCTTCATCATTATCATAAAAATAATAATAAACTACACAGAGCCAAAGATATTGGGATTGTGTTAACTACTTGAAAGTATAAATGACAGCCCCTGACTTCGGATCATAGGATCTTAACTCACTCCTTTTAATGTATGTCCCCCAAAGTTTATCCCCGTGGTATTAGAGGTGCTTAACACAGTAAAAGTTTGTGTACTTGCTTTCCTTACTTGAGCCCACCAGTGGGGACAGTGTGGCATTTCTTGTGCTCCAATAACTGCTCAGGTGTCTTCATGAACTTATGGCACACGTCACACTCGAACATCCGTGTGATCAGGTGGATTTGCAAATGGCGCTCAAACATGTTCTTTGTTTTGCAGACAAAGTTACAAAAAACACATTCAAAGCCTGAAAATGAAAAAAGAAGGATACATGGCAAAGTTTATCCCGTTTGCTTGTATGCAAAAAGGCAGCCTGTCTTTCTTTTACCTTTCTCTGACTTCTCTTCTATGTTCAATGAGGTCTGGCTACCAGGCACTACGGAAATGACTACCAGATTGTTCGAACCCTTGTTTTTTTGGGCGATATCTGCATCTTCTTTGCTGTTGGCAGAATCACTAAGTGCTGACAAGGAAGATGAAGAAGGGCTGTTTGATTCACTAGGTGTCTTCCTCTCTTCAGCTGGAAAACAAGAATAAAAGTACACTTACTGGTTGCTATACAGAGAAGAACTCCATCATTGTGATACAGCTCCAGTTATCCCATGTTTTCTTAGTTCCAGGAAGAAGTGACTTGCATTAAAAGCAGAAGGAAAAAAATTACTTTTTAACTCACTTCTGGGCAAGTGAGCTTGCTTTGTAAGTATCATGGTTACTTTGCCTTCCTTCCTATTACAAGAGGTTATAACAGGTCAGGTCACAAAGGCCATGGATGCAGGTGTCGCGGTGGATGTAGTCTTTCTGGACTTCAGCAAGGCCTTTGACACCGTCTCTCACCCCATCCTAGTTAAAAAACTAGGTGACTGTGGCATCGATGCCTACACAGTCAGATGGATTGCAGATTGGCTGAGGGGTCGCACTCAGAGGGTGGTGGTGGATGGGTCATATTCGACCTGGGGGGAGGTGGGTAGCGGAGTCCCCCAGGGCTCGGTCCTGGGGCCTGCGCTGTTCAATTTCTTCATCAGCGATCTGGATGATGGGGTGGAAAGTAACCTGTTTAAATTCGCTGATGACACCAAAATTTGGGGGGAGGTGAGCACGCTAGCAGGGAGTGAGAGATTGCAGAGGGATCTGGATAGGTTACAGGGGTGGGCTAACAGGAACAGGATGCGTTTCAATACGGACAAGTGCAGGGTGCTGCACTTGGGCAGTAGGAACCAGCAGCACACTTACACAATGGGGAACTCCCTACTCGAGAGCACGGAGGCAGAAAGAGATCTTGGAGTCATTATTGACTCCAAGATGAACATGGGCCGACAATGCGAGGTCATGGTTGGCAGGGCTAACCGGACCTTGTCGTGCATCCACAGGTGCATCTCGAGTAGAGCCAAGGAGGTGATCCTCCCCCTCTACGCGACGCTGGTCAGGCCACAGCTGGAGTATTGTGTCCAGTTCTGTGCGCCCCATTTCAAGAGGGATGTGGACAACATGGAGAGGGTCCAGAGGAGGGCCACCCGCATGATCCGGGGACAACAGGGCAGACCCTACAGTGAGAGACTGCGGGACCTGAACCTATTCAGCCTCCACAAGAGAAGGCTGAGGGGGGACCTGGTGACCGTCTATAGACTCACTAGGGGGGACCAGAAGGGTTTGGGGGAGACGCTGTTTCCCCTAGCGCCCGCTGGCATAACAAGGAGTAATGGGCACAAGTTGATGGAGAGGAGGTATAGATTGGACATCCGCAAAAACTACTTCACAGTTAGGGCAGCTAGGAGCTGGAACCAACTTCCAAGGGAAGTGGTGCTGGCCCCTACCCTGGGGGTCTTTAAGAAGAGGCTGGATGCCTACCTGGCTGGACTCGTTTGAGTCCCGTTTCTCTTTTTGGGGTTTTTTGTTGTTCTCCCGCCCTGGCGGGGGGTCGGGCTAGAAGATCTACTAGGTCCCTTCCGACCCTTAATCTATGAAATCTATGAAACAGCACACCTATCAATTTGTCCACTGGGGCAGTAAGAAGGGAATACATAATTTTGCCTGCAACCAGCTTGAGAAAAGGTGAAACAAAGAAACATTTTTAATTAGCATAGAACATAGAGCCAAGCAGAAATCAGTCACTTCGTAAATTTTCGAAGCTCCTGTAAAACTTTTGCTTTTTATTCCCCTAAAGGCTTAGGAATATGGGTACTTCATCATTGTTTCAGTTAAGCCTTTTCTAACTCACTTTGTGGGCTCTTTGTGTTCATTTTAGACATGAAATTAAGGAGGAAAAAATCAAACTAGTTGTCCCATTCATTTTGTATAGTTCCATAGTAATTTGAGTCTTTCCCACAACCTTTCTCTCTGATTACCACTTGTGCTCTCTGGGCAGTGCTAATTTCTATTTCATCAATGCTCCAGACTGCTCCAAGACATCGGAGGCAAGAGATGGAACCATAAGCGCTTACAAAGAGTTAGTCCTGCTGGCAGCAGAAAACAGACAAGGAGCTCAAGTCAGCCCTGGTGTCAAGCCACTAATGGATTTGACATCTGAAGTAAGAGAGAAGAAAGATCAAAGTCTTGTTGTGTGTGTATTATTATAAAAGCTCTCTGCACCACTTTTTTGGGGTTAGTATGCCAGGGTCTAGATTTTAAAAGGTATTTAGGTGCCTAAAAAAAACTCTTGGGAAATTTTCAAAAGCACTAACTTGCATTGATTTCATCTGCATCTTCATCCAACTACTTTAAAAATGGCTCTTCATGTTTAGATGTTAGTGCATTTAGAGTGTACTAGTGTATCACTGTCATCAACAGGGCACAGCCAATTATTTCTGGGATAATTCTGGAAAATCCAGACATTTATGTAATAGCGAGACTATTAAAAAAGATGGCCTGAATAGACTTTCATGGGAATGACTGCAAAAGGTTATTACTTGAATCCAAGACCAAGATGACCCTGAATTTAAGACAACCCTGCACAATTAGATTCTATATGTAGACAATATATAAACTTGTTATAATTTCCCATGTACAGAATTTAATTTTTGGAGGGTCATCTTAAATTCATCCCCCAGCCTCACTGCTGCAGCAGGGAGAGCAGTGGCAGGGGGGGCAGGCAGTGGGGGCGGCACGTGGTAGGGGGGACAGGCAGTAGAAGGGGTCAAATAGCTTGACCCCTGCCCATTGCCCCTCAACACCTTGCTGCTGTTGCCTGCCTCCCACAACCTGCCCTCGCTTCTGCCTGCTCCCTTGTGCCTGTCCTCAGCTGCCTCTTACCACCACCCCTCTAGCCTTGAGCCCTCACACCCTCTTCTCCCCAGCAGCCTCTGTCCCCCTACTCCTTATCCTGGCTCCAGTCTTGCTCCAGCCTGGGGCATGGAGTATGTGATTTCTCCAGCTACAGCCTGTCCCAATAGCAGCTGTGGCAGTGGCAGCTCTGGCCAGGTCCTGGAGCTGGAACTGCCATACTGTTGTCACTGCCAAACCAGGCTCGGGCTTGAGTAAGAGCATGCTCCAAGCCCTGGGCTGGAGCAAGGCCAGAACCTATGAGACCCAGAGCAAGGGTAAGTGCCGGGAGGTGGTGGGGGAGGGAGGGAGCGGCTGCAATGACCTGTATGTAAAACAGAATCTCACTTAAAAAAAACTTAAATCTTGTGCATGTGATTGATAATGGTTAACTAAAGTCTAAGCAAAGTTAGTATTAGTCCAAGTTAAAATGGAAGCAGTGTGCCAAGAGAATTTACTGAAGACAGAAAACTGTCAATACAGAGAACCAAAATATCCTATAAGTAGGAGCAAATGACCCCAAGAACTTAAGCAATAAAAATGGAATGAAATGTAACAGTATGAAGTATATAAGCTTTAGTTTAAAGCTCCCCACCACCATTTTTCAGTGCAGGGACACTGATACACAGGATGGTCTGGGTGCTTTAATTAGCGTGGCTCTCAGAGCTACACTAATTAAGCACCCCCCACCTGCCAGAGCATGTCTATAAATGCCCCAAAAGTCTTGCACACTGGGGATTTATCATTTGATATTGATAAAGGAAAAACCTGAGTGCACAAGTTGAACAAGGGCAGTTATGAGCCACCAGTGTGATGGCAAATATGCAAAGTAGTATCAAGCAGATATTTCCAGTAGAGACACCAAAAGTCATAGTGCCATGGTACAAGACACTTGTGAGACTATATCTGGAATAAATTGTATAATTTTGGTCACCCAGCTTCAAGAAAGATTCATTCAAACTGGAACAGATGCAGAGAAGGGCTTTTAAGACATGGGTAGGCAACTCTCAGCATGGGTGCCAGAGCATGGCACATGAAGGCATTTTCATAAATTTCATAAACATTTGGGCTGGAAGGGACCCTGGAGGATCATCGAGTCCAGCCCCCTGCCCCAGAGGCAGGAAGTCAACAGGGATCATAGGATCCCAGCAAGATAAGCATCCAAATATGTTTTGAAGGCGTTCAAAGTGGGTGCTTGAACTGCCACAGGTGGCCGTCTGTTCCAAAGCTTGGGGGCTGGGACAGTGAAGAAGTTCTTCCTTATGTCCAGCCTGAATTGGTCACAGTGGAGTTTGTGACCGTTCGATCTTGTCATCCCTTGGGGGGCTCTGGTGAACAGTTGTTCCCCCAAATCCTGATGAGCACCCCTGATAAACTTGTAAGTGGCCACCAGATCACCCCTGAGCCTGAGCTTTTGCAGGCTGAATAGCCCCATTGCTCTCAGCCTCTTGTCATAAGGTCTGTTTTCCTGACCTCTCATCATGCACGTGGCTCTTCTCTGCACCCCCTCAAGCTTCTCCACATCCTTTTTGAATTGCGGAGCCCAAAACTGGATGCAGTACTCCAGCTGCGACCTCACCAAGGCCGAGTACAGCGGGAGAATGATGTCCCGGGATCTGCTTGGGAAGTATCTATAGATGCAAGCCAGAGTTTTGCTCGCTTTACTAGCCACAGCATCACACTGAAGGCTTATGTTCATCTTGTGGTCAACCATGACCCCCAAGTCCCTTTCATCTGTAGAGCTAACCAGCGTAGTAGCACTACCAAGCCTATAAGCATGGTGCAAGTTTTTCCTCCCAAGGTAGAGAACCTTGCATTTTTCGGTGTTAAACATCATCAGGTTCTTGTCTGCCCATTTCATGAGTCTGTCCAGATCCGCCTGGATCACCTGCCTGTCCTCAGGTGTGGATGCTTTACCCCAGAGTTTGGTGTCATCAGTGAACTTGGCCAGTCCGCTTCTGACACCAATGTCCACATCATTGATGTAGATGTTAAACAGTATAGGCCCTAAGACAAAGCCTTGTGGGACCCCACTGGTCACAGCACACCAAGACGATTGACTCCCGTCAACCACCACCCTCTGGGTCTTACTGCGGAGCCAGTTCCCCAGCTAGCAAATCGTGGTGACGTCAAGGCCACAGTTAGCCAGTTTAGCCAAGAGGTGATCGTGGGATACCAGATCAAAGGCTTTTTTAAAGTTGAGGTATACGATGTCGATCTCTTCCCCCTTGTCCAGGTGATAAGTCACCTGGTCATAAAAGAAAATGAGATTTTGCTTGGCACACGCCTTGGGGAGGATGGCAGGGAAGGGACCAGGGCTGTGCTGTCACAACAAGGATCGGGCCCCTTGTAGCTCAGCTGCTGTCCATCCTGGCATGCCAACATCTTACAAGTTGAGGTTGAGGGTGTTTTTGGTACTGTGCCCAAAAATGTTGCTGACCCCTGTTTTAAGATATCAGGTGAAAGAAGAACATATCTGAGTAGAAAAAACTAAGAGATCATGGCTTGTTTGGCTTAGCAAAATGGAAGCTGAGAGGAAATCTGATTTCTATAAATATATCAGTGGGGTAAATGGCAGGATAAGAGAGCAGCTACTTAACTTAATGGATAATGCTGGCAAAAGAGCACGCAGTTCTAAACTGGCCATGAATAAATTTATCCTAGGAGTTAAATGGTCTCTAACAGAACTGTGAAGTTCTGGAACAGCTTTCTAATAGGAAGTTTGGGGACAGACAACCTAATAGTTTCAAGACTGAGATTAATAACTGTATACATGGATTTATAAAATGTGACTTCCTTTAACAGTAGGGGACTAGCCAATCCCCTCGAGCCCTATGTTCCCACACTAAACATGGGACGCAAATATATGCTGGATCAACACCTGAACAGCTGAATCCAGCAAGATGAATGAAGAACGCTTTTTCACAACAGAGGCAATGAAAGACAATAAGATACCAAGGAATATTTGTAAGCAGCATATTATTTTTAAAGTCAAAGAACCTGCCACAATATGTAATGGTTCAGTCTTGTTCAGCATTGTCCTTTGCCTTTTTAGCCACATGAGTATCTCTTAAACATATGTCTAATATGAACTGTTTGACTATTACCTTCTTTCCTGTTAGGAATTAAATGGTGATATCATTACTCAGGAACAGTGTTCAGAATAATGGACAGCTGTGTAAAATTAAGGCCTTCTGAACATCTGTACCATGAGCATCACTTACTGAACCTGAATGAGAAAGTTCAAAGCAGAGTGACTCATTAAAGAAATACCTTTTTTTTTCACCTAGTACAAAGACCCGCAGAGCTCAAATATGCCAACGTCTGACTCTTGGATACTAACTTATTAAAGATAATTTACACATAAGATCTGATATTATTCTTTAAAACTGAATGTGTGCTAAAGGGGCTGCAGTTCCCACTGAAACACTGCCAGAACTAAGGTCTGATAGAGAACTACTTTAAGACTGCTCTCTTGCAGGACAGACTAAGATTTGGGATGAAATGCTGCAAGGAGGGGCCGTAAAATATATAACTGAAAATAAGAACTTGTAAATAGAAGTGGGCAATTTTTTTTTTCAGAAAAGAATGCAGGTAGACAACACCAACCTTTAAGGAATTCTTGCCAGATTTAGCCATTTGGTTGTTCTGAGAACACCTGAAATTCTTTTAAAAGAGTCCATTCATTTCACTTCTACGTTTTCTAATTTGAAGTGACTTTTCTTTGAATTTATTAACAAATAAAAAACATAAATGTTCAGAATCATAGGAAAATAAAACACCAAACCACATTTCA